AAAAAAAAAAAGTGCCTCCAGTGAGATTCCCAAACAGAAATCTCCCAAGCAAGCACCCCTGCAAGGCGTTTCTGAGTGGTTGCTGCTGAATGCAAAGTGACTGGCCACAGAGTGGAGGGAATAAACCTCAACTCTTACTCAACTTTTTATCTCTGGGTCATTTAAGGACATATTTAGGGAAGGAGTCCAARTTCCCCCGGACCTCACCCCCGGCTGCCTCTGCCCTGCCTGGCTCCCAGTGTGATGCTCTGCTCGGTGCAGCTGCAGGAGTCCCCAGCCACCCCATCCTGGGAATGCTGCAARGGACTCCAGGAATGCTGTGAGGGGCTGGATCTGGCTCTGTGCACACTCTGGGGCAGCTTGGAGCTGAGCTCCACCAGAGGGGTTTTGGTGAAACAAAAATAACTCTTACCAGGTTCTTGCCAAGGCAGATCTCATGAAGCCCCTCCTGCCTGCAGGGAGCAGCGGGCACTGCACTTGCAGCGTTAAATCTCAGGGACAAGGGACTGGTGTGAGTTTTAACAGCGCTGTTAAAGATGTAGGTCCTCTGCCCCTGCAAACCCACCTCTGTCGGGCTTGAAATGCCCATTTACTGCAAGATTGGAAAATCAGCCTGAGAAATCAATCAGAATCCCAACGCATATAGCAGAAGAGGGAARTATGACCTAAAAAGAAACTGCATTTAGGAGGGGTTTGGAGTCACTGACACGTGGGTCCTGTCCTAATGCAAAAGCATTCCTTGCTCCTCTGCCTCTGGAAACAGCCAGGACTTGAACGTGACCTTTGCTGGAACTGCTGAGAGACACCTGAGCCCTGCCAGGCTCATTTCAGCAAGAACCACCAAAGCAGCAGGTGTTGCCCCCCAAAGCAGCAGATGCTCTCCAGCAAAACCTTCAAATTTCACGGTTCCCTCAAGTACCATCAGGACTTTATGGYCATGCAGGACTGGAGGGAAATACAGGGATGGTGCAGAACCAGTCCCATGCCCAGGTGACACCAAGGGCTCTGGCACTGGCTGTTCTACTCCCTTCCATGGACAGGCACTGAGTGCGAGCTGCAGACGATTTCTGGGACACTGAGCRATTGCTGCACAATTTGGGTCTTGAAGTCAATTCAGTTCAAGCCTCAGAAGTTTAAGGACATTAAACTTCACAGACTGGTGTCCATCAGCTTCAGGACAAGGTACATCTCTGAGCTGGAGCTGCACTTGTACCTTGTCTGRGAATCCCTAGCTGGATTCAAATTGCAAATTAACTCTGAGGCCAAGTTCTTTTGTTTCCATCGTGCTGCCCTCTCCTAATTTGAGACTTGATGCTGTCCAGGCTCAGCCCCCAGCACTGCCAGCTCTGCAGTCCCAACACGGCCGTGAGGACTTGCAGGTGCCTCTGCAGCACTGAAACACCCACGACCTTTTCCTCAAAAGCAGGGAATTGCCTTGTGCTATATAAAACTGAATGAAAATTAAACAATCACGTGGCAGAGGATTACCTTTCACAGCCCTTCTTTGCCAAGCCTCGGTCACGGTTACGCACAGTTCCAGATATCGCCATTAACACAGAGGGAAACCCTGCCCTGCCCTCGGCTCTCCACAGAAAGCAAACAACTCAAACAGACTCACACACCACCTCAAACAKGGGTTTATGGCTGATCAGCTTGATTTAACTGTCAGGAGGCCGCAAAGAGAAGAATGAGGGGAAGGACRAACCTGGAGAGGGAACCAATGCTTCAGAGCATCCCTGGTCTCTGCAGCCTTTCCTCAGCTGCACTCCAGCACCAACATGGGGCTGAAGAGAAGATACCTTGAAAATAGCCTACGCTACAGTTTTTTAGGCTGTTCTTTCCCACTGGTTAATTATTAAAATACAAAAATACCATGTTTAAATATAGCGCTGCAGCTCAGACTTAGTTGTAGCCTGAACACTCAGTTCCGATTTGTTTTGGCTTAACCTGTATTTTTCCACTGAAGCACCCAGTGCCCATCTCTGGTTGTGCTGTGGGGTTGGTTTGGAGTGGGGATTTTATGGTTTATTTGTTTTACACCCACAGAAATAAAACCACAAAATGCTTCTGCCTCCCAAATTAATACAACCATATCTATTACCCCTAATGCACAGGGGCAGATGGCACTGGGACAGTTTTTTGGCCTGAAACCCYACCAGAGAAGGAGAAACTCTTGCACAGCTGAAGTAGCCTGAGAGAAGGAAAGGCTGCAAGGACAGGAGAGTGTCCCAAAGCAGGAATGTGAGTGGAAGGTGCTGTGGAGCAGTTACCAGGATTGGAGTTCGTGCACATTTGCCTACATTTGGTGAAAGATATAAACGCCCCAAAAAAAGGAGCTGGGTGCGGTCAAGAGTCCYGCCGGGGCCGGGGCGAGCTCTTCCAGGCAGGCAGGCGGCCACGGGAACATAGCAACTGGCCAGTGGCTCCAAAACAGAACCTGACTCAAAACAACTATCCCGAGCAGAGTTCTGCTAACAGAGGAAGAGACATTTATTTGCAGAAGGCCACTGAGGCCAAACCAGTCCCGGGGCAGGCTGAGGTTTGCCTGCAGCAGGACAGGAGACATTTTCACACCAGAGTCCTGCACAGCAGTTCACCACCTTGCAGCACTCAATGGCTTCTTACATGGATGCAGGATGTCTTCTCTTCTCTGATCCCACGCTGCAGGAGCAGCAGGGACCCAGAGATGGACAGACAGGTCCTACACCTGTGTAGAGAGCAGTGAAGCCCCCAGGACYCCCCTCCCTACAGAGGCCCTGCTCCACATCCAGCCCTGACCTGCTCTGTTCCACCTCGTGCCCTGATGGATGTCAAGCCGTGGTGCCCACATTGATTTCTCCAGCTTTTCTTCCCCGGAGCCACTGCTGAAGTTTGAAGCCAAAGAATCCATTGAGAGGRAYTGAGGGCAATTAAAACAGCCCCAGWGCTTTTGTCYCCAGAATAAAGAGCTTCACACAACATGGGCTGCCTGCCCACACACAGGGAAGGAGCCTCATTTGAAGAGCACCAGATTGACCATCACTCTGTCAGGGTGACACCCACACAGTCTTGGAGGAATCTCAGTGTTCCTGGAGCTTTCTGGAAGGGGCTTCATAAAACCTCACCTTACAGTCACCATCAGTGCAAATGCAGAGGTTTGTTCTCAGTCTCTGCACGCAGCATCAGAGGCTGCCAAGGACACAGCAAGGTCACCCTGAGAGAACTAAAAATCATAGAATCCTCAAACAATTTGGGTTGGAAGGGACCTTAAAGCTCATCCCTGCCATGGGCAGGGACACCTTCCACCATCCCAGGTTGCTCCAAGCCCCGTCCAGCCTGGCCTTGGGCATTTCCAAGGATCTGGGGGCAGCCACAGCTTCTCTGGGTACCCCCACCTTATGTGGAGTCRATGTTTTCTGCTTCCTCTGTAGCCCCTTCCTAAACTGGCAGCTTAAAAATCCCCAGTGATTCCTGAGCACCAGGAAGAGGAGCTGCAGTGCACCTGCACAGCMCTCACACTCTGAGCAGTGAAGTTACTCAGATAAAGGTCTGTAATTAAATAAAACCACACAAAACCAAATAGACGCTATCTACCATATGGAGGGCATTAGTGCACTATAATGACACCCTGCAGCAGRAGTATAATTAAGAATATAGCAGGATTCCCATTATAAATCCTTATTACTGAGGGTTCATAACCTACTGTACAAACCTGCCTGGGGCTCAGGCTCAGCAGACGAGAGCAGCTTCAGCAGCAGATTTCAGTCTCCAAAGCTACTTACAAAGTTGGGTGGAAAGGTTATCGGCCTTTCAAATTTCTGCAATTCCAGGAGAGTGTCAGGAGTTAAGACTTCATTATTTCTAAGCTTTAAC